TATATATATATATACAAACATTATATTATACATATTATAAAAAACATAAAAGTATACTATAAAAACAACTGCAAGGAAAATCAATGCCAATTTCATGCATTCCACACAAAATACACATGCAAGAAGAAAAAGCAAGCAAATAAAACTCCACTAACAAAAAAAATATATCTGGGTATCAAGTTAAGGAAAGACAACAATTGTATAGGGTGCTCTATACATAAAAAGCTTGCTAAAATGAAATTATAAAAACGTATATTTTTTTGTTCTGCTCAATATAACAAGCATTGTTGTACACTTAGGTTGGTGTTTAAATCATCTGTTTCACAGGACAAAGAAAGCTGATTGATGAAGTTAACCAGAAAGGTTCAATTAAATCCCTAATGAGAATATTATGAAGAAGTCAGGTTTTGACTGGTACTAATGTACATGACTATACTTTAGTATCTGTATTAAAACTTTAACAGCAGAGCATTTCCAATACTTACTCTTTAGTACCATATCACACTCATCCCACTGTCTTATTTAACTCAAACCTCCTCAAATACTGGCTGTACAGTTAATATCTCATTCAGTACCAATATGATTGTCTCTTACCACAGATTAATGAATGGATAGATTTAAAAACAGAAAGAGGAGGCCCAAGCAGAGTGTAGATCAGGGCCATTAAATATTCAAGATGTAATCACAAATAGCTGTATCCCATACCCCTTTTTGCCTGTGGCTTGGTTATTGCTGCGACCTATTAAATCCATGTTATAATAATGCTATTTTTCATCAGATACTGATACAGATAATGACTGTATACATTAGAAAGGGATTGATCATTTTAAAATGGACTGATTTTTAAGATATCTTTCTTCTGCTTTCTGCACACATAACCTGCTAGCTCTATAAAGAAAGAACAGTCAAATGGCAGATAACAGATATTTCCTGCAATGGAGGTGAGACAACCTTATCTGCTGCAATACTCCATAAACAGCCAAACAGTCTTATGAAACAGATGAAAATAGTAATCTCAGCCAACAGGCATCCCCAGTCTATGGATACTCTTATAAATGAACTGTTGTTTAAAAATACACAGTGGAACAGATGCATGTGGAAGCCTAGCAATCTGAAATTTATACATTGCGGATAAACTAGCTGCTTATTGCTTTAGTCACAGCAGTGAAACTTAAAGATCCCTACAATCTAATTAGAAAGTGTAGCCTCCTTCAATTTCTGTCAAGCTAAACTGAATGCAGAAATACGCTCTGTGCAGCAATGTCCCTTTCTCTCTGTCAGCACTAACACAGAGTCCGTTAATATAATTACATTGACTTTTATTCAATTAAGTGCCATCTCTTGCTTAAAGGGAAGCAGTAGAAGAAAAAAAGGCAGCTTTGTCAATTGATTCAGGTGTAACACAATAATAAAAATGAACTCATGGCAGTGCATTAGCTCTGCACCTCATAACTTTGTAACAAGAGTTCATTCATAGAAGTCGATTTCCATTATGCCACCTCAGTTGAAAAAGAATTGATTCTGAAGCTCTTGTCACTCTTTAATCTATTGCACTTTTGTTTAATAACCTAGCACAATACTGTATGCACAAAATAATGACCCATAAAGCTGGTGACAAAGTTGTTTAATTTTCTCTATCACCTTATGCAAGGATGTTTTCCATGTCCTATAAGGGTTGGAATGAATTCTGTTAATATTGGATATTATTTTTGTTGTTGTTATTATTATTATTATTATCATTTATTAATATGTATGCAGGCTGTCATGTAGGCATGTACTTGCCAACTTAATCACTCAATTTATTTAACCCTGTGTAACAAATATTTGACGTGTCCTTAATCACATGTTAACTTGTCTTACTACCTCCAAACATCTGTCCAGTACCTATCTACAGATATCTTTTTAACATGTGCACATATTTGTAGCCTATCATAGTTTTAAATACATAACTCTCCATAAAACATGTTTTTATTAATATCTGCCTTGATCACAAATATGCATGACCCAAAAGTACCCCTAGGTGTTGAAGTACCACTGATTGACAAGCTCTGATAAAGGTAGACTGGGAATATATAACAAATAAATGATAACATGTGTTCAGCAAAGAGTCATGACATGGACAATAAGGTAGTAATCCTGAGGGTATTTGTATTGTTTGATGATTTACTAATATTACATATTTATTTACTGGTCATGTGTAGTGGATGTGTTTTTTATTTATTTATTTACTTTTAATTAGTTAATTAGCTTAGGATAGGTAATGTGACTTCTTTAAGTTCCAAGTACATATACAGTAAATTAATGTATTAATTGTACTTGTTAATAGGCACACATCTCTGCACAAATCATGTGCTTAAACAAAACTGTCTGACCACCAATTCTTGCATTGTGTGCAAGCTCTAAAAAAAGAGCAGACCAAGCATATTTATACTTTTCTGTACATATATGAATTGCTTAATAATTCGACAAAGTCTTACTATAAAGCAGAGCATGCTTTGTTTACTGGATACATCCTAGTGTATTCAGATCAATTACTTGGACTTCCCGAGTATAAAGATGTAACCAAGGTTATTCCAGCTAAGCAGGGGCGTCCCGAGGCTGGGTGACACCCAGAGGGGTGTCCGAGTGTCACCCCGCCGAGACGTCACCGCCCTTGTTACGCCACTGCAGCTAAGTGCTGTTGGGTACAGTGATTTCTGTTTGATTAGACAGCATATTGACAGCGTTTTTTCACACAAGGGTGAAAAGTTTGGAGAAGTGAAGAGGCAGGAGAAGTGAACAGTCTAGGCCAAAATAGCTGATTTGGAAAAATTCTCCAAATCAGCTCACTTTTCAGTTCAGCTATGTTGTCCTAGATTGTTCTCTTCTCCTGCCTTCTCCAAACTCTTCACCCTTTTGTGAATAACCGTGTTAGTCTAGTGATAAAATATACTTTAAATGAGTTAAGCCCCATCCTCCACTGGTAAGCTCCACCCTGCTGTAAGCATTTCAGTTGTAGAAAAGCTTGGTGCTACGTAGACTGATGTTCTGAGGTGCAGTGTAACTGATGAGCATGCCATAATTAGCTGTTTTATACTTAGCTGCTAGAACTTACAAAGTATTGGGAAATAGTAAATAGCAGGGCCCTAAACAGGATACTTCTGAAACACTATAAAAGCTTATCTTTGGACAAATTATTTTACTAAATATTGGGTAGTTTTTTACCTTACCCCACTACCTGAAACTTCACATTAAGATTGTATTGTAAGCTTGTAAAGAACCTAGTGGTGCTATGAATGCATACAAATCTAGGTACAAATCTTCACAGAAACCAGAGCTTATGTAGTGTGATTATACCTAATTATGATGCTTTGCAAGAAATCTTTTGCTACATACATGAGGGAAGGGGAAGCTAAACGGTGATGCAGAAATATGCTGGAGGGGATGATAGAGTAGAACCATGCTCTATTGCTATAGCTAACATTTTCATCAGTGTTCCAATATTATAGTAAAACTAAAACCAAGATTTAAATTTATATTTTACTATCGAGACAAGAAAAATGTTAATTAGCAACAAAATAAATGTATCTAGTACAATAGATGTACAGTATAATAGATGAATCAATCTTCTATGTGGAGACTTGTTCATCTTGAATACTACAAGCAATACACAAAATCTGGCATATATGTGGTGTTTGTGCATTACAACAAGCTGCTGCTGACCACTACAATTATCTTTCAATGAGCGCTAAGCAAATAAAATGGTAAAAAAACACTGATGTTTATTCTATGTTCACATAGGGGTCTATTCACGAAGCAGCCGAAGGATCTAGCCGTAGCTTCGGCCGATCCTTCGGCTAGCTTCGGCCCCAGGACCCCTTCGGTTCAGTAGAACCGAAGGGCTGCTGTACGGGCTATTCACAATAGCCCGTACAGCTCCAGAACTTAGCTGAGCGGCTCAGTCGAGCTGAAGGCATATGCCTCGGCTCAGCTGAGCTGCGCTGACAGCCTGCTTCTGACAACTGGGCGGAGCCAGCCGTGATCTTGTGGCTGGCTCCGGCCACTTGCAGAGAGATCAGCGTCCCTGGATATCAGCTAACCAGGGACACTGATCTCCAGACAGCAAACTCTCCCTGGCGCTGCGGGAGTCTCCCGCTCCTGGCCGCCCAGGAGAGAAACACTGCTTTTTCTTTTTTTTCTTTATTCTGACACGGAGCTGTGTCAGAATATTAAAAAAAAAATGTCTTGCCCATAGGAATGCATTGCTAGATTCCTATTGGCTATTGCAAATTGAATTAGCCAATAGGAATCTAGCAATGCATTCCTATGGGCAAGACATTTTTTTTTTAATATTCTGACACAGCTCCGTGTCAGAATAAAGAAAAAAAAGAAAAAGCAGTGTTTCTCTCCTGGGCGGCTGGAAGCGGGAGACTCCAGGAGCTCCCCGCCGGCCAATAGAAAACGGTTGGGCGGAGCTAGCTGTCATTGCTAGCTCCGCACAATCGTTTTCTATTTTTTCTTTTTAATTGTTTAACTATTTTTCTGTTCTGCTCAGTCCCTCTGAGGGACAGAGAAGAACAGCCGAGCCGAATGCGGGTCAGCGGCATTCGGCTATTCACTCACTGCTGTTCGGCATCTATAAAAATAGACCGAACAGCAGAGAGTAGCCTGCTGGAGGTTTGGCTTAGTAACAGCGTTCGG